CACTCGGTGGATCTCCAGTGAAGATTTGCAGACTTCTGCACCCCTCATCTTCACAGACTATGAGAAGCGACGCCTTGCTAAGGACGCAGCTCGTACCGCCCGACCCACCCCGGTATCGGACAGACAACTTCGCCCTCGCAGGTAGCTCGGACTTTTAAGAGGGGGAGTGTGTTACATCTTCGACTCACACGGGTCCTACCGGACCCGACTTAGGGCCGGAGGGACACACCAGGGCCTAAAGGCCCGACCTTTTGGGGTTACAGATCCTAAAGGCCTGATTTTGGACCAGCACCCATCGGGTAGGCCCAAACGACACTTCGTTTGGGCCTGGCGGCGCTCTTGAAGCTGCCGCTTGCCGATTGAGGCTGAACCGTCCATCTGGACGGTCCAGGGTCTGGCCTGGCCTCGCAGCATTGAGGCCAGACCATTGCCTACCGGTATAAGTACCGGTATCCTGCCTCAGTTGGGGATCGGCCTACCGGAACTCTACCGGCACGGCATGGTCAGTACCAGTGTACTGTTTTATGCGCTAAACTTAGCGCAGGGGCTGAAGCAGGAGCGCAGCATAGCGCAGCTTAGCGCAGCAGCGAGCGGAGCAGCAGCAGGGCGACTGAGCCAGCACAGCGGCCATTTCCGCTTGAGGTACCGGGAGCTTGGAGGGTCTCTCCTCCTCTCCCTCGCCAGTCCCCTCTCTCTCTCTCTCCTCTTCCTCCTTCTTCTTCTTCTTCTTCTTCTTCTTCTTCTTCTTCTTCTTCTTCAGATTGGAGACTATCCAGTTGGACAGAGATCAGGGTTGGATTTCGGTGATACGAGACTTTGGTACTTACCTGATTGGAGACTTGGAGGTTGTTGAGGTTGATACTCGGCTGCGTCACAGTTGGACACCGGTTACATATGGACTCTGTTATCTCCGACATTGGTGACCTTTGGTCCTCGACATTTTGATCTTGCTATATGACATTCTGGACTACCATTTCGGAGACCTATCAGACTCYAKCTTGTGACCTATCGGTGTGATCTACCTCCTACCTCCCTCGTCTCTCCTCCCACCTTTCATCTGTGCATGTGTGTACGGGATCTGGGTATCGTCTATGCATGACCCAGACCCCACCATCTCATGATTGTATGTGTGTGGAGTGATGCCATGTAGGTCAGTCTATGTAAGTCAGTCTATGTGAGTCAGTTCGTTATCAGACTTCCGCTGCATAAATGCTCATCCTATATTGGTTGATCTTTGGTTCTGCCCATACTCATTGAAGTACGTAACAGTAGCAGGGGCATGGAATCTTTGTTCATTGCTCTAGGCTAGCTACCTTGTGATAAAAACAAAAAAAAAAGAACGCTAAAAAAAAAAAGGAAGGCTAGCTAACTAATGACGCATGTTATACTCGATTGGTTTGTGGTGGGGGACCACTCGTGGGCAGATTGAGGAGATGCTCAAGGAAAGAACTGGGGTTACTAAGAAAGATAAGCCGCCTCGTATCGTTGAGTACCGGTGAGTTCTGAAATGTACTGCTTACTTTTCACTTTCTTAACCCGTTGACAAATTCCCCATTTGCCTCTGTCGTACTCCTCACTGTTTTAACCCCACATTCTTCAACTGGGGGAGGGGGGGGGGGGGGGGGG